AATCGGAGGGGCGGAGTACAACCCGGCGGCGGACGTTTATCATTTCATGGTGCGAGCGACCTATTCTTGATTATCAACTACTTTGTAAGCTATCTCAGTACATCTCATATACTTCATATCCATAGAAAGCTCTTCGCCTTCCTCCCTGCCATCTGTTTGGGCTATCTATCGGGTGTAATGTCTCGTTGGATTTAGCGACAGCGTACCCGGAACATGTGCTTTCGCTCACTCTGTGCTCACCATTGACCCCTGTGGAGGTGATTATCTCTAAATCATTAAGCATTGCACAAAAGTACCTAATGCAGTGTTTGTCATTTATTTCAGCCAGATGCCGTTGTTTCTGGTCGATTGGAAGTCCACGAATACTGGTCGCAAGCCTCTAATTTCTCAGAACCAATATCCCAACCATTCATGACTGGAGGAGATTTGTCCGAAGAATTTGAAGTTAATGACCAGATCCTTGCGGAAGCCGTGCTAGGAGTCAAGCAACTTGCATTCAACAACGACATGAACTCACTAACTATTGCGTAAGTGATTTCACTATCTAGCAATTGTGTCGTTCAATGAAAATGAATCTTCTCAAAACTTGGTAGGATGGTAGGAACATCCCTTGAGCAAGGGAAGAAACTCTGGTCTGGTTCACGTGAGAAGACAAGGGAGGGCTTTCGTGCTGCAGTCATATGGCCTCTAGAGCGCAAACTTCCCCCACAAGGAGCCTTAAAGAAGGTAAAGATATAATACTCTCGACTTGAAACACCCCGTTGAAAGGGTTTCTCTAGATCCACATCCCTGCATCCATCATTTATTGCACTGAAGACGTCGCTTATTGTTTGGAAAACGCACAATTGCTAGAGGGCCAACTGCGAGATGCTGGGCTGAAAGTTGAGCTCCATCAAATTCCAGGCCCTCATTATGGCTGCGTCGCCAGTGCACATCAGTTTGTCCAGGCCTTCTATTTTGACATTTCACGGCTTATTGAGTCCGTAGCATCAACCGCATCCTTCGTGAACTCGTTATGTCATGTCACGACATTGACACTCTTCCCATCGTTCCACTTACGGCGGAGTCCCATCATAGCAGACTGAAGACACCGTATGAACACATGTTGGGACAATACGATTATAACGCGGGGGAGGATGGAGGGGCCTACCTTGACGAGAGTGATTAGATTGGATTTATGGGGTAGGTCTATTTTATTGGAAGATACAGAAACTGATAGGGTTCCCAGATTCTGTCGAGCTTGTAAACTTATCTGTACATGTCGATGTTGCATGATGTTGCGTCCACCTGAACATCTCATAATGGAAACCGGGTCCCGCCCACACTGAACTACAGCAAAGCATGCAGTACTCGTGACCAAGCAGCCCTCCGCTGCGTCCCCGCCGGACATGCGAACTTGGCAGACACTTTAACTCCGACACCTCAAATATGTCGGCAATGGTATATTTCCGTCTCTCTCTTCTATCCGCTCTATGAGAGTTCCGAGATTTGAGCACCCCGCCATCCATTGCAAATGGGAATACCTCCGTGAAATATGTTTCCTCACTACCTACCATTGCGGAGACTCGACGTTTCATGCTGGACATCTATACTTCCGTTCTAACTTGACATCGTCTAGACTTTGTGTCCCAGAGAATGCGATGGTTCTGTCAACTTGAAACGAGCACCCCTCCCAACGGCTATACTTCTAATGTTTAGGCGTTGACCTCGCCGTCTTTCAAAACTATATAATGCTTCGACTCAAGTTGTTCTACCTTAGAGCCGGTCTCCCATTCACAATCGCAGAAACTCATTCCCACATCTTCAAATCAATCAGGCCCTCTATATCATTAAAAGTAACTTTCCAGAATTCTACCTTTGACTGGACCCATCGAAATTCCATAGAACTCACACACATCCAAGAGAACTCAACATGCACTGCTCATTCACCTTAATGCTGTCTATGGTGTCCGTCTGTATGGTGCTTGCGGTACCACTCCCCATGCCCGTCGTAGAAGGCGATATCATGAAGGCAAAACCCAAATTCTTCGAGCCCAAGCAGCCCGGTTTGGCAAGTATTTGTCATGAACTCATCGAGATCCAATCACTGATACTCTACCTCCAATCCACCCAGGCCAAGATAGGCGAACATATAGTTGTCGCTGTATCCAACCCCGATTCGAAAAACAAAGTCCTAGTTGCTCCTCTAGCACATTCGCATCCCGGCAACACACCCACTATGCCCGCCTCGACATACGGCCTTCCTGTCGATCACAAGAAGGGCGAGGGTTCAGTCAGTGTCGGGAAGCCCATGGTCATAGATGCGAGTAAATTAAAGCCCGTTAAAGGCCTTGAGAACGCGAAAATGCATCCTGAACATTTGGAGGCGCTCAAGGCTGAAATTGGTGAGTGATTGGTACGATCTCCGGGGATGATTAATTGACTTTTGACATGTATCACGCAGCAAAGAATTGCGGATCTTTACGAAGACGTGATGGATCGTCAGTGATTTTGCATTGTGCTTCTTGTTTCGAGAAGCTGATCATAACGCATTCTTACGCAGGTCGGCTTGTTCAATAAAAGCTAGTGTACACACCCCTCAAGCGCCTGCTCATGCCGCGCCTGCACCTCCTCACGCGGCTGCTCACAATGGAAAGAAGTAGATATTGATGGTATGACGTAGTTTTGGTCTATAGCTGTTGTTGGTGGCAAATGATATCCACACATGCATGCGGAACTATGATTGATTCCAGTCGAGGGAAGACTTTAGTCTGGTGCACAGGAAGGAGGCTAAAATGTATAGAAGGCTGAATGCCGCGGATTAGTGCCTGCTCGTTATGAAACGTAGGCGCTCAACAGGTGAGATCAAGCGGCAGTTCACAGTTGTGATCCCTCTAACATTCATCAACCCAACAATTGTACTAGCGGCTGAGTCCCGCGGCTTTAGTGCCTGCTCGACTTAAATTGTGGGCGCTAAATAGGTGGGGTGGTGAGATCAAGCGGCAGTTCAAAGCTGTAAATCTTTAACATACATCAACTCACAGCAGTGTTTCTAAAACATATGATGCAAGACGCACGCAAGCTGTCAGAGATGTCCAGAATGGTCCAGAAGACATATATAGCGTACACTAGAATCCTTCACACAGCATCGCCAACTTGAAGAAAACTCATTGTGGGGCAACAACACACAGCCGATGACAATCTCGGCGTCTATTTATAGCTCATGCCAATACACAATTAGTTCCTAAGCTGTGCTTCATGTTGAATTTGGATGTCATTGACCGCCAGACCGGCGATCCATTCTTGGGAAGTGAGTGTTTCCGTGAGTTTGTGTGCTTGTTCTTCTGATAATCACGGCGTTATCATGACCCAAAGGGATAAACGCCCGCATAAATATAACCTATCTCAAAGCAGTGCATCTGCGTGATGATCTTTGGCGCCTACCTCTTTTGGAGCTTTTTTGGGATGAACAGTGGGTCCAGATGTCACAGAGGTTTGATAGAAGCTGTCCGGATTCTTCATCATGTCAACACTCTTGTCGTGATGATGAACACATTCTGATCTCGGCACCTCTTGTTCTTGATTATGCTGTGCATGGGCTTTAGCAGGTTTTCCGTTAGTTAAGTGTAAGTATATATACCGGACGATCCGACGCAATAACTTAACAGAGCTGGCCTCTTCGTTTTCGTCAACTGCCTGAGCTGGACCTCGGTATCTACTTCAATCCATAAAGCATTGTACTATCATGTAAGGTCCTCTCTTGATTGCAGTTGTTGCACTGATGGTAACACGGATTGGTACAGAATTTTGCTATGCAATTCCTAGTACTCATTACGGTGGCTATCCTGGGCGCTAACATTACCCTTGCCAGACCAACTCCTACACCGCCATTTGTACCAGGAGATGTCGCGATGGCCAAACCGAAGAAGTTCCAGAATGCATTGCCACAGGCGGTGCGTACCTAGGTCCTATGATCCCTTTCATAATCTAAAGTACTTGCACCTTACAGAAAGAAGTTGGAAAACATCCTGCCATTGTCCTTACCCACCCAGACAAAGACGGCATTGTCAAGGTTGCAACTATGTCGCATAACCACCCTTTCATAGATGCAAAGTACATCCATAAGGGTGGGCTGTATGGCCTTCGAGACCACCCCGTCAAGGGCGAGAGTTCAGTCAATGTTGCTGGCCCCGACAGCGTACATGTGAAACATCTTTCTCACATATACCGGATGTCGGATCATCACTTCAATGCTCTGAAAACGGCAATCCGTGTGTCGTCTCTTTGTCTCCCAAAGGGTGATATACTTACTTCTGTGCAGAGAAAAACTGCCCTGAAGCTTTGAAGAGACGCGGCGACTCAGACAAAACTAAACTAGACCCGTGCGTAACTTCTATGGATACTGTTGACCGTCGTTGACCGTCGCTGATCGGTATCTGTTTCCTCTCATCTAGATGTAATAGGTCGTCAATAGCCACACACGCCATAGAGATTTTTAGTACTACGGGGACTCGAAACCGGAGGAAACAGCTGAAGAATAACCGGCAGACCGGGAAGAATAGGCAACATAGCCCACAGAACGGTCATGGGGCTCCTCATAATTCGCATACGTCGGGACCTTCTTCTCAGCCTTATCATGCTGCTCCTGGTCCATCCAGCCACCAAGGGAATGGTGGGGGAGGATCGTCGTCGAATGATAAACGGAAGCATTGATTCTGTGAAGTACTGAATGGAATTGGACATTGTAAAGACAACGGGCAACCGAAGTGTGTAGGCAGTTTTGAAGTCATATGTACTTGGTATAAACTCGTTGTAACTGTATTTTTATGCATGTGGAATACAACCAGGCTCACTTATAGCTTTTGTGTAGTCCCGATGACCACCTTTCGTTTCGGAGATGAAGGAAAATGCGAAGAAAATGACAAGAAGATTCAAAAAGAAGACGATCGAAGACACCGCTTGCACACAAGGTGAACTGCTTACGCTCACACTATAATTAGCTATGCTCTGCAATCAACATGTCCTTCTTAGCTCAGTTGGTAGAGCGCGTCACTAGTATCACAATGTGATCAAATGACGAGGTCAGTCGTTCAAATCGGCTAGCAGGAATTTTTGTTGAATAATCTTTTACTTGCTACTGACTTACATACAGTACAGTGAGTTGCTAAAATTGAGAATAATGTGTACCAGAACGATGAGATAACTACGGCGTTTCCGTGAGATAAGAAGTGAATATATGAAATACTTGAAAGTGATTCCAATATTCTGATGACAAGGAATTCGTGGGTACGAATAACTTGAGTGTGCCTAGGGCTTGCCCGGGCTCCTCGGAATTTGGATCCGAAACGCAAACGGATTGGCCAAATCGGTCCAATCTTGCCGTCGGGATTGGCCTGAGTTCTAGGCCCAATCACGTGATCCAAAGACCTTCAGAATTCGATCTGAAAGAGGAGGCGCCAGGGCAAGTCCTGAGCGTCTGGAAAGCTCGATTGTGGCAAATATGTGCCGGAAGCAACCAGCTGTACCAAACACTGAAGGGATGGTGGGTGGGTCGAAAAAACTCAGTGACGACTGAGAAAGCTTTTTTCCTGTGTCAGAACCAGATCCTGAGCGACAAGGGAAGCCCTTCTTTTCGCGAAGGCTTTAGCGGTTGTTTGTACATCTTATGTACAAACCTCGAGATCTGGTTCTGACGCCAGGCGTTATCTTATCCGATAATGAGCTTGCGCTCATACTTCACACTTGCTCATCTCGGAATGTTATTGACAGAGGTTTGTTCACTCAGCTTACATCGGATCCACCAACCTCCTAGCAACAAAATAAAAGAACCATCGATGGGACTCGAACCCACAGCCTCTGCCTGGTGATTCCCTTGTGATAGGAAAGCAACGCACTACCATTGTGCTACGATGGCTTGCGAAGTCTTGCAAAATTGAATGTACAGATTGCGTTGAGCTTTCACGTGACCATAAATTAGTGGTCTGATTTCGAGTGGTCTCCGAAATCGAAAGACTCCATTTCTCTCTCTTTCTTCTTCACCACCACAACCATACCCAGTTTCTTTGGAAATGTCGACGGACTTGGGTCTCGATCCGTCAGACCCCTTGAACTTGTTGCTACACAACAACTCACAGGATGGCGATTCATCAACCGACGAATCCACACAGGGAATCACAGAGGACTGGTCCAAATTCAGTGCATTGTGGGCAGACAATGCTGATAGCATGAAGCCGTATTCTGATATCATGGACTTCTCCGACATGAGCTCTATGCCACTGGACATGGATTTTAACCCATCCATGGCAATCGAACCAAGCGCGCTGCACTATGACCCCACCAAACTCAATCTTAATTTCACCTACGATGATTCTTTTAGCTCGTTCTCAGGTGATATGCTGTCCACACAGTTTCCTTACACGTTCCAATCAGCGCTTAGCGTTGGGAGCGATTTCTCTGGCTCTTCGGAGGCCTCACCACAGTCGTCTAACAGAGAACGCAGGCTCAGCATAACTTCGTCCTCTTCGTCGTCCGGTGCCTCTCTATCACCCGTTCCCGAGTCAATACCTAGTCCAGCGCCTGGGTATACCAGCGATACCGTTCAGCCCAAGGAAGAGTCGATCCCACCTGTCGAGATGAACCCTTATGCCAATGACCCAGCTGCGGAGCTGGCCCATCGTGTGCGTCAGTCGGCTGGTGTACTGCTGGCCGTACCCATGGGTGCTTCAACGCAAGGGTATGTCCTCAATCAACAGCAACAAGCTGCTATCTTAGGTATGTAGTCAGCTCTATCCCTCCACATGTCTCTTACGGCTACACTTTAGCCCAAGCCAGCCAGGGAAAGCTTCCCATACCCAGACTACAGACGCACGACTCCGGCTCTGGTCCTAAATCAAGCGCGTCCAGCTCCTCTTCAGCTGCCTCAACGCCTCCTCCATCTACTCCTCCACCGTCGACCACAGGCAACCCTCTCAAATTATTTATCAACCCGAACATAGTTCCCGCCGATGCATCAAACGTTCCCACACCTACAAGCGCGGTACCTGCGGCCGTCCTCCCACGCCCCAAGACGAGCCATACCACCATCGAGCGGAGGTACCGCACGAATCTGAACGCTCGTATCCAGAGTTTGCGCATGGCCGTTCCCGCCCTCCGCGTGCTCGAAGACAGGGAAGGTGGCAATGGAAAGAAGATCAAGAAGAACGTCAAAGGCGGAGTCCCCGTCAAAGGTGCTGGTGTCGGTATCGACACTACATCGGAAGACGGCACAGTCATTGACGTCATCGACGAGCGTGGCTTCGTGGATGGTGTTAAGGTTGCACGGAAGTGCAGCAAAGCCAACGTTCTTGGTAAAGCTGTGGAATATATCCGGGTATTGAAAAAGCGCGAAATGCGTTTGAAGAGGGAGCAGTCGGGCTTGAAGACCCTCATAGCGGGTCTTGTAGGTGGTCCTGCGCTTGTAAGGGAATGGGAGAAAGAGTGGAGGGCTAATTTTGGCGGAGAGGAGAAGGACGAGGTGGAAGGCGAGGGTGGCGAGGACGAAGGTGATGATGAGGATAGTGACGGCGAAGACGGAGAAGGCGACGAGGATGAGGAAACTGGGAGGAAGCGGAAGAGAGCCAAAGTGGCTTCTCTCTCATCCGGGGGCAAGAAAGGTGCGGACAAGGAGAAGAAAAAACCTGCTGCAAGTCCTGTGCACACCTCGAGCGATCAAGCTGGGAACCCAGCTCCGGAAAAGCGGAAACGAGGACGCCCGAGGAAGGTGCTGCCCCCGCCCGTGACTGTTCTACCGGTGGCTGGTGCAGTGCTACAACAGGCTCCAGCGGAAGCCATGGTGCAAGACGCGGTCATGCATCCTCCGCATTCCATTGTGTACCCTACCAATGACGATCTCCTCCAACGATGGGGGCAACCGCAGCAGCAGCCGCAACCGCAACAATACCTCCTCGCCGTATTCGCGCTCTTCTCGTTCTTCAACTCGCCTCTCACTTCTACCTCGTACTCCTCGTCGCGTGGCCACCAACATACAGGGCACGTCCTCAACACCCTCCATCCTCCACTTGCCTACGCGCCCGATATAGTGGCGCAGTTCGCGCCTCCGAGTGCGAGCGTGGTGACAGGTGGGTGGGCGTGGGGGGAGTACGTGCAGGTGTTCCATTTGTTGGTCTCGCTGCTCGTGTTGGCTAGTTTTGTTGGGAGTTGGCTGGGTCTTAGCTTTGGGTTTGGGGTTGGGAGTAAGTTGGTTAGGAGCGGCAGGAGCATGTCTGCGATCGTGAAGTCGCAGGAGCCTAGGAGAGGAGGAAAGACGGATTGGGTGAGCGTGGGTGAGAAGAGTGTTCTTCAAGGTTCGTTCTACTTTTCTCTACGCATTTGTGTTATGTCGATACTGATTTTTTTTATCTTAGGCAAAATGACATCTTTGTCTCTGTACGAACGCATCCAGATCTACCGCGCCCTCTCTTCCCAGTCTTCGTCGGTTGGCGACTCCACCACGCTCGCCATGGTCGTATGGGATACTCCGGGCTTCGTAGGGAGGCTTGGGCGGATGAAAGCCAGTGCAATCTGGGACACAGCCAAAGACAAAGCGTCCAAATCCAAGCTGAGCGAGAGACTAGTCCTGGAGTCGATGGACGTAAGTGAAGCCGTTGAGCTCCTCTCCTCCACGGCATCGGGTAGGAGCCAGGACTCTGAAAGTGAAAAAATTCGTTCGCCCATCGAGGTTCTGGGTGCGCTGCTCGTGAAGGAGAGACTGAAGAAACACCTTGCACGGATGTTCGTTAACGCCGTCGAGCACCGCGTCGAGTCGGAGGTGAAGGAGAAACGCGAAGAGACGGAACGGCGACAGACGATCGACGCTGCGCGGGAGTTGGGCGGCAGGGTTGAGGAGCTCGGGAGGGTGTTCGAGCGCGTGTGGAAAATCGACTCAGTGGACGAGGACGTGCCCGTGTACCCGCAGGCCAACGACGCCGACGACGAAGAGATCAACGCACTCCTCACCGCTTTGGTATTGTACCGTAGAGTCTTCGCTCAAACGCATCCGCCCGCCGCCGATAGGGCCCTGGAGTGCTCCACACTCCTCAGCCCGCCGCCTAGCCCTACTCCTACACCGAGGGCTAATTCGAAGTTCAGGGAACGGCGTCATGAGAGCCTGCGCACGCTGAGGAAGGTGCTTGGGAGTCGGGTATTTGAACTGGAGGATGCAGGTGGTGCGCAGGAGGAGGAGGAGATGGAGGCAGATGTGGCTGGTGAGGGTGAGTGTGTGCTCGGGCTGGAAGATGCGCGTGATCGGGTGGTGGATATGATCGTGGAGGTGGAGAGGAGGGAGAGAGGGGCGTCGCCTTCGGTGTTGTCATGATGTTTTCTCTCTCGGCTGTAATTTGACTTCTCCTTTCACGCTTTCTCGTATCTGTTATATATATATTTTATCATTTGCCTCCGTCCAGCAGAATCTAGAACTATATCCTTCGTACCCCCTGACTTATTACTCTACCGTTGACCTATTACCGTGATCCTCGTTATCTCTCGCTCTGTCTTTTGACTGCTTCATACACGACTTCATGGATATGCAGTAATGATGCAGATGTATAGATACTTCCAGAATATAGAATGATTGTATTCGGGTTGCTCTGGTCACCATGTCATGCTTGCTTTCAGTCAATACACGTCACAAACATGCAAACCAGCTTCTCAACTTCGCTCAGGAGGACTTTACATTCAATGAAAGGTGTTATTGTACAACGACCAACGCGGTACGGAATCAAAGATGACAGCAGCAACTGCAACCACGAACGTAGATATTGTTTCTGGTGGCCAGAATGCCGGCCCGGGATCCGGAGTATGGTACCGTAAGTATTTCCAGACAGCAAGAACCAATTAGAAACGCGGCTGAATATTGGTCAAATACTGGCATCGATTATACTGATGCAATAAAGACACTGGAGAGTCTTAGTGAAATGAACATGAATACTGCGATCCGTGAAGCAATGTCTGGAATGAACTTTGGTAGGGTCACTTCTCCCCATGGATATTTGACCTTAATATTGGACCGTCAGTGTTGAACAAGTGTTGAATGGAGCGGCAGAAAAGAGAGAGGTCAGAAACTTGCTAGGAACATCATGGAGCTCCACTGTCTGGGGGAGGAAAAACAATTATTCTTATATCATTTCTACATAGTAACCTTTGAGTAACCTATATATTTCCCTCTTCTTGTCTTCAATTTATCATAATCCCTCTCTTGCCGCGTGCCCTGTTGCTGTGTACAGGACTCGTTAGTGATGTCAGAGTGATGTGAGAGGATGTGGGGAGACGGGGTCAATCCTTGCAGGTTGTTTCACGGCTTGGTCGGACGATAGCCCCATGCACATCATGCAAACATCATACATCGATACAAACAACTAGGCTATGCTTTTCAAACTGAGTATTGCCTGCGGACAGAATATAAATAGCGCTGTTTAAGTGACTAGTTGGCAACGCACCTCGAACTGCACTTGCACATCCCCTAACAGTTCCTTCCAAGATACCAAACCAATCTATTTTCCGACACGCGATGTCGGAAAAATCGAGATTGGCATATCAATGGTTGTGACAGCTGATGAGCATATAAGCATGGATCGGCCTCTTGCAGGCAGCCATTTCAGCCGGTGATCAGGTCGTGTCACCACTGGTAAACTGACAATATAGACAATCAGCCCATGATAAATATCCTCCTTATGAGCATATCAGAAGGTTATCACCCTCTGGCAAATCTCACAAGTGCTGTCCAGCCTTGCAGTGCTAGTATAGTAGACTTGAAGTCTAGAGATCACAGCATTCTCAGTACTCATATGCATTGGCATCTACGTTGTTTGCAGTCTCCAGTTGCATTGGGTGAATGTACGAACCAACACCATATCAAGCACCTTCCCTGAAGGAATTGAC